ACAAGTGACTCGATTGGATGACTGGAAATACAGCACATTAAGTTTTCTAAACTCATCTGCAAAATGGTTAAATGTCACTATTAATGCCAATACTGTTTGCTGAATCCTTGGAAAATAAAATTTTTGACATGATTTAAAATTTTTCCTTTAAAAAACAATATACCAGAATTTTAAAATACCTGAGGTCTGTCAGTGGGACTAGTTTAAATATAGTGGGAGTTAAGTGGAAATCAACTCATGTACGACCAACTCTCATGACCAGGCCTGTACTTCCTTCCCAATATAATAATCACAGTATGCAATTATGAACCTGGGAACAAAGTTCCCTTAGTTAGAAGAAAAGCAAATATGTCGGCAAATCTCAAATGAAATAAACAACTGAGCATTAATTGCAAAAAATAAGTGCCACAGGACCAAACATCAATATTTGGAAGGAGTCCCTGTACTTGGGGAAAACTGAACCAAGGCACAATCTTCTGTCTCTAGAAACTACATGTGGATCAGACTGCATATGTGTACTGTTGCAGGGTGGAGACCATGTGTTGTTTATCATTTTATCCCCAGCACTTAGCAGAAGGTCTGGCACAAAATAAGTGCGCAATAAATGTTTGTGGAATGAATGAATCTGCAACTGTAGTTTATATAGTGTTTTTCCAACTTCTTAAAATGTAGTTAAGAAACATATTTTACACCAACTCCTGGTACACACAAATGCACACACATATGTAACACAAAAGTTATAAAGTCATACTTTTTTTAATTCGAGGTGTGCTTTCTGATAGTTTCTGTTATCTTTTGTTCCGTTTTACCTGACCAAAAAAAAAATGCTGGGTATGACCCACTAAACTGATTTAATAAGCCACCAATGGATCAAGGCCAATAGTTTAAAAATACAGATTTATACTGTTTCTATTTACATCGCTTAACTTCTTACATTTATAGGCTTCTTTAACTATAGATCATTTTTTTAATCACAAAATTTTTGTGTCTAGAAGGGAATTTAGAAAGTATTCAAATCAACTCTAAAATGTTGCACCAGTTATGCGTTCACTGCAGTGGGATTCTCTTTAGTCTGTGTTGTTGAATTCGAATTTCCCCCACCGAAAGCAGAGTGGCCCTACCACATACCATAAACAAAATTTAACTCAAAATGGATCACAGACCTAAATGTAAGAGCTAAAACTATAAAACTCTTAGAAGAAAACTTAGGAGTAAATTTCCATGGCTTTAGGTTAGGCATTGATATGCCACCAAGAGAAAAAATAGATAAATTAGATTTCACCAAAACTGAAAACTCTTTTCTTCAAATGACTTCATGGGGAAAGTAAAAAGAATTACAGGATGGAAGGAAATATTTGCAAATTAAATACCTGATAAGGGACTTGTATGTAGCATATATAAATAACTCTTACAAATTAACAATAAAAAGACAAATAACCCAATTTAAAAATGGGCGAAGGATTCGGATAGATGTTTCTTCAGAGGATACATAAATGGCCAATAAGCACATGAAAAGATGCCTGTATAATTAGTCATTAGGAAAATGCAAATCAAGACCATAACGAGATACCATTTCATAACCATTAAGTTAGCTAAAATAAAAAAGACAACAGTGTTGACAAGGATATGGAGAAATTGAAACCCTCATAAAGTGCTGATGGAAATGGAAAATGGTACAGCCATTTTGAAAAACAGGCTGGCAGTTCTTTAAAAACTAAACATAGGGCCGGCCAAGTGGCGCGATGGTTAAGAACTGGCTTGGGATGCCAGAGGGCCCCGGTTCGGATCCCACATATGAGGGCCAGTGACACTGACCTCCACAGCTAAGATGCTGTACAACAGCCCAACCTGGAGCTGGGCTGCCATGAGTCGCCGGCTACGGTGTAGGCTGCAGCCCCTGTGGCAGTGGGTTGCCATGGGCTACCGTATGTAGCCAGCAGCCAGCGTGAGCGGCCAGTAGCCGCAGTGAGCAGCCGTCCAGAAGCCGGTGACTGATCGGCCTTGCCTGGGAAGAGCGCAATGATGGTGCCAAGTTGGGCCAGTGAAGCAACGTCCTCCACAACTAGACTGAAGAACAAAACAACAGCAACTTGTCTGTTCCCATCCCCCCAATTCCCCAATAAAAATCTTTAAAAAAAACAAAAAAAACCCATACACATAAAGTCACCATATGACTCAGAAATTCTGCAATGAGGTATATGCCCAAGAGAAATGAAAACTATGTGCACACAAAATCTTGTATGTGTTCATAGCAGCATTATTCCTCATAGCCAAAGAATGTAAACACCCCAAATATTCATCAACTGATGGATGAATCAACAAAATGTGATATATTTATACAATGGAATATTATCTGGCCATAAGAAGAATTGAAATAGTGATGCATGCTACTACATGGTTGAGCCTCAAAACATTATGCTAAATAAAAAAAGCCAGTCACAAAAGACCTTGTATGATTGATTCCATTTATATGAAATGTCCAAAATAGATAAGTCTATACAGATAGAAATAGACAATGGTTGCCTAGGGTTAAGGGGAGTGACTATTAATGAGTAGGAGGTTTCTCCTGGAGTAATGAAAATGTTCTAAAATTAGATGATAGTGATGGTGGAACAACTCTGTCAATAGAGTAAATATCATTGAATTGTACATTTAAAATGTATAGTATTTAAATTTTGTAAATTACATCTCAATAAAGCTGTTATGAAAAAAAAAAGGTAGACTGGGACTCTGGCATGATCAAGAAGTAGGATGCATGCAGCACTTCCATGCCTGCATGTAGAATGTTGAGCCGCCTCAATCTGACTACCTAAATTGTAGGCAAAGAAACAGGGTTTTTCAGTGGTCGGTAAAATGGTTTTGCTTGAAGTCCCTATAACAGAGTTGTGGCACTTAGCCTCTTATTTTAGGGGATAAGTGGAAAGACATGAACCTGTTGACTTAAGCTCTGAACTTTCTTTGAAATGATACTCATCCTCACACAAAAAATTACTTCAAACTACAAATGAGGGCGTTCTACATTAGAGGGAAAAGAACTAGGTAGGCATCCCCAACAAATTAAGATGGTAAAGGACTAGAGAGTATCCCGGGCAAGTAATGGATACAGTTCTTGAAATCAGGGGTTTTGCTCCCCTTTGGGAGGGCCAGGCCTAGAACAGGATGTTCAGTGAATGAAATTGGAAGAAGGCAAAGAAAGTAAGGCCTCCAGTAGGGAGGACCAGAGGCTTTCTGATTGGGCGTCTGCAAACCGCCTTTGAATGGGTCCTGATGGAGAAAGCAGCAGGACAAGAAGCTGCCCACAGTCTACCCTGTGGATTTCTGAGGCAGCATGCCCCCAAACTGCTTCTCAAACTTGAAAACTTGACATTGCCACCCCTATGTCCGGGTCCCTCAGTGTAAGAAACACTGTTAAAAGAATTCAAGAAATTATGCTAATGAGTTAAAGAAATACGTTTAATGATGAAAACTGTCGCTCTAATGAATACCAGTTTGAATTACAAATGAAAAAGGGGGTGGCTGAAAATGTGCAGCACCATTGGGCTATCAGATAAAAACCAGGTGATCCATGCTTTTAACTACTTTTTGTAAAGAATGTCATTGAAAAGAACAACGGCGGAGTGTGGGAATCTCGCAGACCACTCTGCGAAAGGCAAGACACACGGGCCTGGAGGAGGGCGGGCTCCGGAACCCCACAGCCGGGCGGCACCCTGACGTGACCCAGGGCACCTTTCTGAGCTTCGCTCGGGGCCCTTCTCTGTAAAATGGGACCATTCGGGGCCGCCTCCCAGCGGTGGTTGTGAGAAACAAATGGGACTGGGCGCAGAGTAGGCGGTCGAAAAGGGCAGCCCCGGAGGCAAGGGGTCCTACTGTGCGCCAGGGCGCGGGCGCCCCCGGCCGCTCCCTCCCTGCTGGTCCGTCACCCCCGCCCCGCGCCCGCCCCCGGCCCGGCCCGGCTCGGCCTCGGGCAGGCGGAGCCGACCGCACTCCCAGCCCGCGCGGAACAGCCGCCTGGGGCGCTCGGTCAGCCGCCGGGACACGAGAGTGGGGCGCCACGCCGCCGCCGCCTCAGGTCAGAATCCGGGGGCGCGGGGGCGCTTCGGGCCGCGGGGCCGCGGGGCGGGAGATGCGGGGTTAGGGGCCGTGGAGGGAGGCGGCGCGTTGAGGGGTCCGGGACCGAGGAGGGTCTAGGCTGAGAGCTGGCGGGGGCGGAGGGCTCGGTCAGAGGGGACCGGGACTGACCGAAGGGTCGCAGCTGAAGAGCTCTCCGGCTGAGGGGTCGTGGGCAGAGGGGTCATGGTCCGCGGGGACCGGGGCGGACAGGTCCGGAGCTGAGGGTTGAGCCCCGAGACGTCCCGGCGCAGCGCGAGCAAACGCGGCGGTGAAGGGCAAGGGCTGCACGCGAGGCGCGCCGGAGAGCGGCGGTCCCGCCCCAGGAGACGCGAGCCCTCGCGTCCTGCGCTGCCCTGGGTGGAGGTCCAAGCGAACCGGGGACCGCCGAGGCCCCCGCGGAGGTGCTCGGGCTTCCGGGAGCGGCTCGCCGGGGCCATTGCGGGGAGAAACGCGGGATCCCGTGCGTGGCCGTCTGGCGGCCGTGGAGTCCTCCTGCTAGGTCTGCAGAACCCAGGCGGCGATCGCTGTGTGGGGTCGTCGTGACAGTTAGCGAGGGGCTCCCTTGGGGGTCACCCAGCCCGGTGCCCTGAAGCCCTCTGCTGACTCTGAGCCCAGTGGAGGGCTGGAGCCCCCAGGGTCGTCGGGGATGGAGTGTGCGGCCCCCGCTCGCCCGGTGTTTGGAAAGGGCGCTAGCGTGTTGCAGGCCCCCACTCGTCCGCACAAGCTTAACTACTGCTCTGTAGCCTGACCGAGGTAGGTAATCATGGCCCCTCAGTGTAGGGGGGTGCAAGGTGGGTGTGTAGTTGTGGTACTTTATGCCTTGGTATTTGGGGAGGAGCCTAAGGTAAAGAGGCAGAAACTGGGAGTAACCTATCTGCTGCTTTTATATAAGGTCAGTTAGGTAAAGTAGGGGCCTTTACCTCTGCTGGTGAATCAGAAGGCTGCATTTCTAAATTCTTCTTAACTCCAGTGCTTAGGTGAGTCGGCTCACTGTAATTGCATTTTGTTGAAATGTTTTGGTGATGTGTCCAAAATTTGCAAGGCGACGATGATGGTAATTACATTATATCGTTATTATTTTGCTGTGCTCTTGCTTTACGGTGAGAATCTAATTCACTTGAGTTTGAGGATAATGGTTGGAAAAATGGAAAAGTTATTTCAAGAGAAGAAAGTAAAAAAATTAGTAGCGTGTCATGAAGAAACTCAAGTTTTTCGTCTTTTCCTCCTTTCAAGCTTGGGGACAAAATGTAAAATTAATTTGTGTAAATTATCATCCGAAACAAAACCGGGCAAGATGATGAACTGAGTTGTGTGCAGCCTATTGCTGGAGAAACTCGATTTTTGAAGTATATTTTTAATGTCAAGTGTTTTTCTCATTCATGAAACAAATTGTAATGAGTTATTGGGAGAGCAATGACCAACTTACCTTTTAAAGAACCTGAGTAGATGTTCGACAGATCTCAGGTGTTCTGTGGGAGTCTTCCTTGTCTATGGCTAAGTGATCAATTCTGGCTGAAAGTGGAACCAACCTGATGGTGCTAAATGACTTAGAAAACCCTCTGGTACAGAGACTGACATAGACATTCACTGTGGTTTCTCTCTTAAAGAAATATCTTCCACTCCTATGAAAGTTTTATAGAAAATACTCATAGATACTCCCAGTTAGCATGTGGAGTGCTATTTCAAAAGATCCTATTCAAGTTTTAAAACAATTTTTCTGTTGTCTATTTTCAATCAGATTCTCTCTGAAGGTTATATATGTTCCGTAGTATTCTTTAATATACAATATTTTAAAACTAATGTTGTGTTAGCCAAACAATGAAGTCTGTAACAAAACCATCCATTTTTGTCTTCATATAATTTTTTTCCTTTATTTAAATTAGGTGATATCTGATATTCCACTTGCTGATAATTATATCTTAAATTAAAACACCTTAGAATTAACTAGTGACTGCTCAGTCTTTTCTTGCTAGAAAAAACTGGTGATTTAATTTTTAAATTAAAACTCTTTTTTCATATTTAAGTTGGTTTCTAGATTTTACAATAACTATTGTAAAAGCATGGCATCAGTGAAGTATAAAGGTTTGGAGAATTTCAAGCTAAGTTTTTTGGTCACTTTTTTCATTCTTTTAAATTTAAAAGAATAAAATTTCTTTTTAAAATTAAAACTGCAATTGGTATTTTTAATAATGAAATACACTAATTTCTTTGAAGAGACTAGTTTCCTTACTGTTTATTTCTTTGTATATTTCAGACTTACATTTAAAAGATAAATGATAATTTTTTGAAATCACAATGTTAATTTCAAAATCCCTGTGACATCAAATTATATTATCCCTATATATTAAAATTTATTCAGGAGAAAAAGTGTTACTTTAGGAATATGCATTAGAAATGCACTACTGATCACGGCTAATTTCTTTTAATTAGTAAATAATATGACTATAAGCAAATACTTATTTTCTTTCTTCTGTAATTCTCTGAAAATAAGGATGCTTGCCACTAACTTTAATTATCAAGATAACCATGCGTGTAAAAGCGGTGTGAAAGGCACTGCTATGAAAACTTATATTAACAATACATTTCATTTCTAGACTGTGAAATGGTTGTTAATAACTGGAGACTTTCGTGAAGTAGAAAAAAAATGTTAAAATAGTACTTTACAAATGTTTTATATATCCTGGCCCACACTTTTGTTTCTTTCATAGGCTCTACATATGCCCAATGAATAGAGCAGAAAATGTTCCTCATTCTAACTTGTGTTTTGCTGAATTCATTGTCACTTGAATTTGGAAACATAACATATGTCACAAGGTGTTGCAAATGTACTGGAACAACTTTTTGGTCTCATAGGATTCCCCTAAATAAATATTAGTTGTAGAGGATGTTTTTTGAATCACTAATCAAGAACATTTAAGTCACCAGTCTATAAGCGTAAACATACGCGCCTCCACCCCGCCTTAAAAATTGTTAAACTGAATTTCTAATTTACTTTTCTTATTTTTTCCTAGCAAATTCTCACATTAGGGTAGTTGACCTCTTGAGTTGTTCCTTTCTCCCTCTTAAGACCAAAAAGCAACAAAAAAGAGCAGCGATGTAAAATGCTTACAAAGGTCCTTTAAAACTGATCAATTTGACTCCACAAAAGTACAGTAAGATCTGTGAATAACCAAGTGTAGATAGCCCCAACATATCATACTTCAGTTAGTTTCATAGCATTCTAGACAAAAATTTTAAATTTAAGATTATTTGTAATCTTCCTGGGGGTTTCTTATTATTTGTATTTTATCACAATACAGAGGTAGATTTGGGGGGAGTTATATGGCATATGTTTCAAAGCTTATTTAATAAAAATATCATGTTTTAATTTTTATTTACCTAAGGTACTTAAGTAGGTTCTTGTAAGGAAATCAGGTCAAATACAATAGGCCATATTTTGGAGAAAACTTCTGTAGATACTAAGACAACAGCTATCACCAAAAATAGCATATACTGAAATTACTTTTTATTTTAAAAATGGGTTTATATAACCTTAATATTTTTCTTCAACAATCAATGCACACCAGTATTTTAATACTAAATATTTAACTCAGTATATGAGTGTTTACATTTTTAACCGTTTCGGTTATTATAGCGAGGCAAGTCCCTTATCCTCTCTCACTCTCCATTTCCTCATCTGTGAAATGGGAAAAGTATTGCAGTTACTGTTCCGTGCTTTTTTTTTTTGGTATGATTTTAAGTCTTGTTCAGCAAACCTGTGTATCTTAAATGATATGACATTGGCCCTGAATTTAATTCAGCAGATAGTTTTAAAAGAACCTTCATGATCATCTGCATTATATCTAAGTAACCCTTTTCACAAATGTTAATAGTTCACCTTAGTACTAATTTTGAGATTATTCTTAAGAATGAACTGAAGATAATGCTTGCTCTGTGCTGATCAATTTATAAAATGCTCCTGGAAATATTTCATCATTATTTGATTTTAAATTATCATCATTCCCTGATGACTTCGGATAAAAATCCGCCTGATAATTATTTTTGGTGTATTGATATTATGTTTGCGAGTCCTGTAATAGACACAATGTGGATCCTTTTGTGTTAGCATTATATGTTTAATGCATCAAGAAGGCACAGATTGTGCTTTTTTTAATATATAAAGTTCTATTCTTTGCATATATTGGGTTGTTGGAAAAGTCATGACGTATTTTTCTGTTTTTCGTTGCAAAAATGCATCATAACTTCTCTGACAACCCAATATTTATGGTGCACCCTCTGCATATATATTGTATGTTACCCAGGAGCAATTTTGTTGTATAATGAGGGCTATGATCCTTTAGATAAGAAGACAGTTTAGTATTGCAGCCTCTGCACTGTACACCTGAAGCTGATGTTGTATAATATTGTTTGTCAACTATAATTAAAATATATATATATTCATGGAACGTGGAATATAGTGTGGGGAGTGGAGCCAAGGGAATTGTAATAGATATGTATGATATGGGGGGGAGTGGGGCGGTGGATTGGGGGAGGAGGGTTGTCTCTTTGAGGGGTATAAAGTATAACTTTGCACTGTGTTGTACAGCTGAAACTAATTTTAAAAAATGTTTATTTCACAATAAAAAAAGAATTCCTAAAAAAACCCAAAAAACTAAACTAAACTAAATAGTGACTTATGCTTGTTGTAAAAACTGGGTGTCTTGCTAACAAGTTGTAACCAGAAAATAGGCTTTTTGTGGCTTGCAAAGTGAATATGCCCCCGAATAACCCACCAGTTTACTAGTAGGGAGTAATTGGGAAAACATATAGTTAACCATGCATCATGAGTTTTAAATTCTCCTTATGAATTGTTAAATAGTACATTTTATTATGAATTGTCTCCTGTGCAAGAATGTAAGGGGATGTGGTCCTAGGCCTGAATTCCACTATGTTCCTGGAATATAGAGCTACAAAGCTCAAGTGGGATCCTCACTAAAAGGAAGGGGAAGCAGAGAGTAAGGAGGCATAGAGCAGTGACTACAGGTGAATGTTCCATTTTCCTGTGGCTTCCCTTTGGGTTGGGAGTGGGGAGAGGCATTAACTTCCACTCCCTTAATACTATAGTTTGGGCTTTTCTCAGAGTCATTGCTATACCTTCCGCTATTCCGGTGACCAGGCCTCTTTTCAACTTGAAAATCTTTTTGGTGCGAGGGTGCAATGGGTTTCCTTTCCCTACTACGATTTCTCAGATATAAAGGAAAGAGATGAAGTCATCAGTTCATGCAACATGAATCAATTAAAACAAATTTAAAACCTTGCGGTCAGAATTTAAACTAGAGCATATAATGGTTTAGTTCAATTGGTTTCCCTGCCTGTTTAGGCAACATTTTTATTCCACTGCATTGGTTTTAGAAAACAAATTCATTGCCAGTTTTAACTTAGTTTTGTTTTTTAAAAACTAATTTGTGGAGACTCCTCTAGGAGAATTATAATATGTAGTTAAGATTCCTTGAGACAAATTTTATGACCTTCTTGGTTCATAATTCAGATTAGTTCATAATTCAGAAGAGTTCAGATTAGTACAAACCTGGGGTGAGAAGTCCTTCACAGTTTACCACAGATAAGGAGACAGATAGGAGGGAGGTAGAAAACTAGGGAAATACCCTGAGTAGGAGTGGAAGAGTCTCTGTATGCTTAACTCCCACAATCAGCAGGTTGCATAGTTACTGTGCATAGACCTGAAATATAAGATTGGCTTCTAAGAATTCACCTTGCTCCTTGGTGACATCATAGAATTTTAGAATAGCTTTAAATTCAAAATTTGCCACTTAGCACTGGTAATCTCTCTGGCTCTATAAGTTGCCTCTGGGAAAGAAAATGAAAAGAGAATATTCTTATCCTATATGTTTAAGGAATAAACTTTCCTTTATAGTAAAGGCAATGGGGGAACATACCTGTTAGACTGCCAGAGTGCCCATGATGAAATGCTGGAAAGACG